TAAATATATAGAATTGATATTTTATTTTGCTAATATTATATAACTGTTACTCTATTAACTGTATATAATAATAACAATACTACAATATTTCACACAATTTATTAAATAAATAAATAGATAATTTATGTTATCTAAATCTGTAGCAAACAATATTATATATATATATATATATATATATATATATAATATTGTATTGTATATTCTGTATAATGTTATTAAAAATTATACTAAAATTATACTAAAATTATACTAAAATTATACTAAAATTATACTAAAATACAAACTAAAACATCATTAGTAATGAAATATTTATAATAAATGCAATTACAGAATTTTAAAAAATCTTCTAAAGTTATTAAAATAATTATATTCTAGGAATTTATAATTAAATTTATAATAATATTATGTCCTAAAAATCACTTGATTTACATTTTTAATATCTAATACATCAAATATATTTAATCAATTATACAGTATTATACATAACAAACCAAATAACCGACATATTGTATAATATCATAAATATGTGGTCATTACTATCTAATATATAATACAATAATATATTGTTATTATATAAATTTATCTAAATTTATACATATTTCTACTGTATATAACTTATTTACTTATCCAAAATTTTTAATTATTATACAAATAAAAATCATTTATAAAATCTATTATAAAATATGTTATTAGGAATAAATTATAATAAAATTATAACATAATAGTATAAAACTCACAAATATTAATATAAAGTTATTACTATTTTTAATGGAATTTTTTATTATTTCAGTTATATTTTTACTTAACACACACACACACACTGATGGTTGATAGTCTAATAACATAAATAGTTAAAAGTTAATTCACCGTAAAATTATTATTTAAATACCTGAGAGAGCGAGTGACTGAGTGAGTAAAAGTAAGTTATAGAGTGAGTCAGTGATAGAGAGAGAGAGAGAGAGAGAGAGAGAGAGAGAGAGAGAGAGAGAGAGAGAGAGAGAGAGAGAGAGAGAGAGTTAACGTTTAGATACAATCGATATATTTATATATTTTGAGGGCAAATAAAATTGAAGTCTATATATGTGTAGATATACATAAATTTATAGTGGATATACTGAATATATCAAATATAAGTGTAATATTTTAATAATATATATATATATACTAATATATATATATAAAATAAAAATATTATAAATGTTTGTCAGTGTATGTGTGTGTGTGTTAGTGAATGTCTGTCTATATATAATTGGTTTGTCAGAAAGTTTAGTAGATTTTCTGAAAGGCATTGTATGCTAAACAAGAATATTCAAAAAACACAACACAAACTCTATATACAGAATATATATTAAGAATTTATAAATATATTCAATATATATATATATTTGAAAGTCAATACTTTTAGTCTATATAAGTAAAACTGACATTTTTTGTCAAATCAATTCAATTTTCATATCATAAATAATGGAAAAATATATGTCAAATATATATATATATATATATATATATGCATTTATATGTGTGTAAAGTCTATGAAAATCTTCAAAATACTAAATCAAAACAAATAAAAAATGTTGAGTACATTAGTAGTAGTAATAATAATAATAATAATAATAATAAGTCTATCACACGAAAAATTTCGATTGTATTTTAGTTAAATTAAAAATTTAACAGTAATTTTTCATTTATAACTATATCTATATCTTGAATACAACTATTGAAAATAAATATACTGTAGTTCATATATATATATAGTTGTATATATATATTAAATTATTGATAAAATACAGAATATGATATATATATATATATATCATAAAATTTCAATTTAAAGTAATTTCTTAAAATAAAAATTCAATGAATCAATAATATATATATATATAGTTTTATATTTTGACACATACGTTATAAAACTTACATATAAATTTATATACAGTATATAAACTACAGTACTATTGCCTTTAGTGATAGTGATGTTAAACAACACACCAAAAAATTTCTATAAAAAATTGAAATACCAAAAATGTCAATCAAAATGAAGAGTATATTTGATTTTTGTTATAAAAATTTTTGTTATAATATTTTTCAGATCATACAGTATATATATATATTAATAGTTTATACTGTATTTTATATATATATATATATACAATAATACAATTCGTTACTAATGGACAACATGTACTGTATTATTTTAAAATATAAAAACTATTAGATAAAACATTATATAGATTTATATATAAAGCTAATATGATAGATAAAATGTCATATAATGTTTTTTTTTTGAGGGGGGAGTGGGATCCCCACTATTTAATCATATAATATACATACATACTAACAAGTTAAATACATACATGTTTGCCTATAATTAATAAATAAATCATATTATATTTTTTTTCAGTAAATAGCTAGTAAGTAACTACAGTACATGATTATAATAATAGAGTATAAATTATATTGTATAATAAAAAGCTATTATATTTATTAAATATTAGTATTCTAAATAAAAAATACAATAAGTGTGATATGATATTCCCAGTAAAACACTGTTTTATAGATTATTATATAATACTATAATATATATTAATTAAATACTGTTATTGCTTAAGACCACAGTTATTAAGCTACTGATTTACTAACGTGTTATATAACTTATATTAAATACAATAATCTATAATATCTTATTGTATAAAATAATCTATATTTATTATACTTTATATTGTATACAATAATTTATATACAGTATATAATGTTTACAGTATATTTTACTGATAAATACTAGTTGCTATTGGTGTGTGTATTTACAATTTTTATTACTTTATTATTTATATACAAAAATGTATATAAAAAATAATTAATGTTTTTAATTATTAATAATTTAAATTTAATTTTTATAACTTCTAAAATATAATATTTTTACTGTATACTAAATTTTAAAAATAAAGTATTGTTTTGTGTAATGTTAGAAAACTTATTTTTTTAATTAAAACTATTTTAAATTAATTATAATTAGATTTTTTTAAAAATATAATAAAGTTTCTCCTGTCTTTTTTTATTTGTTTAATATAGGTTTATAATACATTAAAATTATTTTAATTTAATTCAATACAATCGTAAGGACACTGATTGTGATGAATCTGAAAAACATCAATAATAAGATCTTTTAACACAAAAAACCGAGATTTGATATAATTAAGCAAAATATTAATAATGATAATAATAATAGCAATAATAAAAAGACAAATCAATTGATCACATGTTGAATTCATAATTTTTTTAATAATCGTTTTTTACATTTTTTTTAATGTTACAAATATGAATATAATATACTTTTTTTTTGTTTCATCATAGAATATATATATATATATAGATCCCATTTTCATTAAATATTCATCATAATATATATATATAATATTCATCATCACAAAGATGATATATATAATTTTTTTTATATAATAATATTGAGATTTGCAATAATTATTATTAATAATATTTAAATATAAAAAATATTTCAAAAAATTCGTAAAATTACATTCAAAAGACTTAATAATTAGTTATGTTTTTTTTCATTATCAATATATATATATAAATATATATATTTGACAATTGTTTTGTAGTTGTAATAATAATAATTAATTAGATTTTACAAATTGATACTATTATTATTATTATTTAAAGGGTGGTGTGATTAAAATCCAGCACATTAGTATACATATATAATACATATTTTTTAAAAACATTACTTAAATATACTACTAAATTATGTATTGATTTAGTGTATATATATATATGTGTGTGTGTACTAATAAACTGTATTTTTTAATTTTTAAATGACGAGTATAATTTTTATAAAAAAAACAATAAACTCTTATAATATTTCATTATAATTATTACAGTAGTTATCAATTTATTTTTGCGTGTCTAATATATTGACTAATTTTTGTTTGTTTGTTGTTTTTATTTAGTTAGAGCTCTAGCGTATTATAAACAATTAAATCATCCCTAAATATTACATGTTATTCATAGATTTATATAAAAAAATCAATTGTTTTGTATATATTTATATATATATATATATTGTGTTTGTGTGTATGTATGTGCATAAGAAAAAATAACATATTTTTAGCAATAAGTTTTTTATACAATTTTATATAAATTTCTATTAATAAAATAACAATAAAACATGTAATGCATATATAATAACTAATAATTTTTACTATATATATATAATATATATTTCTAGCTTTGATTATAAAATATTTTTTATTATTCAATTTAGTTTATTGTTGCTGTTATTATTGAGTAACTTTCAATTAATTATAAAGAAATCAGTCTTTAAATAGATAGATATATATAATAAAAAAACACTACAAAGTAATAGTTAAATAGCGTGTAATTATGAGCTTAAATTTGTCAGTTAATTAAAAAGACAAACAGTTAAAGACAATTATTTTTTTAAATACATTTTAAATAAGAAACAAAACTTAAAAATACATAATAAATTTAACTAATTTTTCATATAAAATATCAAAATCAAAAATCAGAAAAAATACATTATTAATATCAATATTATTATTAAGTCATATGATGAGAGAGAAAGATGAGATGACTGGTCATATCAAACAACAACATTATTAACAGTACTTTTATTTTCGTTAAGGATTTTTATAGTCAATAAAAACGGGAAAACATTAGCTATTATTAAAATGTTTGCCAAAAACTGCTGATAAAACTATGACATTAGTAGGCAATTCACAGATATCTATGCGATCATGACTTTAACTATAGTGTATATGTATGTGTGTTTGAAATTATTTGTAAAAAACAAGCAAAAAACTATTATAAATATTAGGTATATATATTGATATATAATATGTGTATAGTATATACACAAACACACTATACATACCACACCACTGCAAACTTATTTTAAGGTATGTCTTAGAGGTATTGATCCTATCAAACAATATAAACAAAAATAATATAATTATAATAATATAAGCAAAAAAAAGACTAACTTAATATAAACTACTTTAAATGGTAAATTTCTATACAGTATATAATAATATTAATAGTAATTGATTATAAAAAAAACAATACGGGGGTCAAAAAACATAATAATAATAACAACATAAATGGGTGAAAAAAATTTCCCGTCAAATCTTCACTCATAAATCAAATTACTAATGTGTATACAATATATCATATTATTATTATTATTATTTACACGCATTTATCGACGAGTGTTTTACAAAACAAAAAATCCTAATAATAACTGACCAACAACTGGTCCGGTCCTATCATTTGACTCTTAAGGTATTACTATTGTCTTTTAATTTGGATGACGACTCTCGATGTCGAGATCTATTATAGGCTTCCCGTTTTGACTGTGTTTCCCGTTCCCGTTGAGCAATAGTATCGGCGTCCAATCGGAAATCTTCAATCGTTTTATAGTTGTCCAACTTTTCCCGAAGCACTGAATCGATTTTCAATTTCGATGCATTTTTAAAGTACTTACGGAAAGCCCAGAATTTTTCTAAACCATACAATTCACCTAAAAAATCGATATTTCAAACAACAAAAAAAACACAAAAATTTTTGTCAATTTATTATAGAAAAAAATATATAAATAATAATATTTATATAAAAAATTGTCAGCGATTTGCGGCCAACCATTAACATGAAAAATAAGTTAAGATTGAATTTTTTATCGTTCTTATTATTGCCATTTAATTCCGTTTACAATCATTCATATGTAATGTTTAAATGACTGCAAAAAGTCAAATGGCTTTTTCACTGATATCTCTGTATATAAATCAAACAAACAACACATACCTGACTGAAAGTCTTTGATGGTCTCCGATTGGAAGTCATCGTACAGTTCTTGTCTGAAATGTCTTTCGAGACCATAGGAAAAGAAGCGAAACAAACACTCCATTCCGTATCGATAGCCAGCGCTGGCGTCTTCGTTGGCAATTCGGCGAAACTCTTCGTACATTCGCCTATTGAAATGATCTCTTAGAAAGAAGGACCAGAATCTGAACAATGTGTTCATCTCTTGACTCTGTCCTCCACCCAAACGTTTGCGATCTTTAAGACACCGAGATCTGTACTTATGGTAGCCTAACTGTGTGAAACCGTTTTGCTTAAGCAGCGAATGTGACGGGTGTTCAAATGTTGGCAGTGATTGAGGGGTTGAGCCCAGACTAGTTGATAATTGAGAGCTAAATGAAGCGGCGGCGCCCCCGACGCCATCGGCTATCGAATCGCTGGACGCCTGTAGATGACGTCGCGAATCGATAACCCAACCGACGTGCTGTTCGATGGGCGGGTTCGCCGAATACTTTGTTTTCTGTTTTCTGGGCGTTCCCTTTTCGATTGGTTTTTGTGGTTCGGGCGCCGGATAGAAGCGGGGCTCCATTATTGGCGACCGTACGCGCGGTGTTTTCTGTAGCTTGGATTCGGGAGCCGAAACCGGGGTCGACACGGCTTTCGGTGATACGGACTGATTGGAATTCGGTGAAAATTGGCTTTCGAGAAACGACTCGTCCTCATAGGTTGGCGGTGGTGGCGGCGGCGGTGCCTGAGCTCTGAACTTCTGGATCTGAATCTTATTCGGTGCGTACTTTTCAAACGCTTCTTGCGATATCATATCAACAGTTTTATGCGGTTTGGCTTCCAGTTTGTCACCGATTTCATCCCACAGGTCTTGTTCGTAGTAATACAAGCCATCGTTTATCACTTTAGCGAACTCTTGTGTCAATTTGACTCTTGTCTGCCAATCACCCGTTCGGTCGTAGCCTTCATGTTTAGCTCTGCCACTGCCGCCGCTTACAAACTGTGTGACAACGATAAGCTGTGCCACTTCGTTGTCGCTCATCTCATAATCCGAGTCTTCCGTATCGTACGAACTGAACTTATTCTTTCGGCCATTCGAGTACTGTTCCAAATTGAGATCAATGTCTTCGTCCAATTGAAAAGGCAAGTCGTCGTTCGAAACACTTGATCCCCGGCAGCGATTTGAGTCGCGAGAGTCGTATTTTGTTGTCGATTGTTTTGATCGGGGTTTTAGTCTTTTATTCTTCACTTCTCTCCAGTCTTTATCCATTATCTTAAGGTCATTGTTCTGTTGATTTCTACTGTCGATGGTCTCAATTGTTGGCACTTTACTGTTAACACAATTACTATTAGCTGTACTTTCATGCGTTTTGTCACTTAAAGGCACAGTTGATAATGAAGATGACGACGACTTATTCGACGATTCGTTAGCAATTTTCTCAGCTTTCAAACTGCTGTCACCATCTGAACAATTGCTGCCATCGTTAAGATATTGTGTCTCATTGTCGTCGTCGATGACACTCTCGTTGTCGTAACCGGTGGGCGATTGATCTCCATATCCGTAACCGTAAGGTTGGCCAGGAATGAATGCCGGAACGTTTGCATGAAGTCCAGCAGTGGCAACACTGATACTATCCATTAGTGGCCACTTTTCTGGACTAACTTTAGTTCTAACTTTAATACCGTCGAGCACATCAACTAATGTGGAATCTTTGAGCGCCTCGACAACTAAGCTGACGTCGTGGGTGAGCGCCTGTACCCTATGGAAGGATGCAATCAACGATATGGGCAGATAGCCATTGATATCCATTTTGCGGCGCAAGAAAATATCACCCTCGAGATTGTCTTCACTAAAATAATGTTCAATTTGTTTACGAATATACTCTTTGAGTATATCTGTATCAACACCTATGTAGGGCTGGGTAAAGCTTTGGGGGTAGAAAAAGGGTGATATAAACGGTTGGGCAGTGATTATAGCTGGAGTTGTGGGCGCTGTTGCAGTAACACCAATAGGTGATTCCGTATACCATGGTACTTCACCCGGCAGCTCGTCCTGCGGTGTAGTCTGTGCTCGTGGTCTCGTGTAATGACCGTTATTGTGCCAATTACTACCACCTCGACCACCTCCGCGACCCCGACCTCTACTACTACTACCACTACTGTATTTTCGACTAGTATTTGGTTGTCTACTATCATACCGGTGTTGATGTCCGCTATCTTTATCATAGTTTCGTTGATTACTAGTACTACTATTACTATGTTTTGTTTGGTCATCTGAGTGATAGTTTTCATGACCCGATTGGTGATTATCGTATCGCTTTTCTCTTCGCTTATCTAATGGTCGCTCTTTATTATGTCGATCTCTTGTTTCTCTGGTCTCTTCTCGGCGTTCTTTTGCGCTGGAAGTAGACAATGCCGACGATGACGACTTATTTCTCGGCGATTTGGGATGTGGTTCAGATGGTATCTCCAAGTGTACCCATTTTGGACCTTTCTTTTTTGTGGACTTTCCGTTACCACCGTTTCCATTTGTCGCTTCAGCGGCGGACAAATTGTTGGACACGTCGTTGTTTTTATCTAAACAATTATCTTTTGCCGACGACTCATCGTTTTCTTGTACTGATTGGGCGCGCGATGTCTGAGGACTGACGACGCGAATCTCATTTATATCACTTTGTGGTGAGTCTTTTGGATCATTTGTGGCAGATTTCTTTGAATTGGACGGTAAGGACGGCTCAGCCAATGACTCGGCGGCGACAACAGTGTCCTCTTTGTTTGAGCTATGCTTTTGTGTCTAAACAAACAATTATTAAATAAGAAATCATTAAAACTAAATCATAATCTAAACAACAATTAGAGACAATACCTCTGAAATATGCACCTCTCCAAGAGTAGGCCAATCGTTGATGGCACCAATTGGTGACACTTTTGATTTAGTTGAAGCACTTCTATTGGCGGCTTGTGTTGTGACTGAATTGTTTGTCCAACAACTCTTGGATTTCATTGATAGTGTTGATGACAACGACAACAACGAGGCAGACGAAGACAATGGTGGGTCGCTATTCTTGTTCCAGACATTGTTGTTGTTGGCCTTATTGTGGACATTGATGGCTGAGACAGTATTAGGACTCTTATGGGAACTATCGTTAGTATTAATATTATTTACATCTTTGCTAACAATTGCTGCATTATTATCATTATCACTAACTTTCTTATTATTTATAATAACTTCTTGTTTAACATTATTAATAATTTTATTATTACAATCATTATTAGTATTATTACTATTATTAACATAATTATTATTATTACTACTATTTGTTACTTGATTTGTGTCTTTAAGACCATCGCGTAAACTATTGCTAGACTTATTAGTCATCGAAGTTTGTGTTGTTGTTGTTGATGATGGCGTCGCCGCCACAGTCGCCGGCTGGCCATCAGTTGTCGAGTGATTCATTTGTTTCAGTTTTTGTGCATAGGATAGTCCGCTCGTGGCCACCGGCGATGGTTGTCCACTACCACCACTACAGCGTCCATCGCCGGCTGCTGCGGGCAAAATTGTCTTATCGTTTGTTGTGGTAATTGTCAAGTCGTTAATGGCCGGCACGCTGTCTACGGTATCGGCGGCATTGGTCTCAGTCATGGATAACAGCGGTGCCGTTTGTGGCGATGATATCACTGGATTCTCGTTGGCGGCCATCGCGAGTCTTGCATGCAATCTTGCAATCTTCAAGTGTGCCTTTAGTGTCGGATCGGTCGGTGGTCTTCACACACACCGATCGGGCAATTAAATGTGCGGACAATTATTATATGATACTATGTATGCTATGATATATTAATTAATAGTAATAATAATAATAATAAACTTGTAATTAATGAGTCATTTAATTATTAGAGATAAACACTTATAGTCTATAAGTTAGAGAAAGAGAGAACATATATATCATATAAAAATCAAATGACTAACAAAAAAAATTGTGTCCAAAAAAAACAATTCAAACAACAAAAACACAACAAATTAATTAATTAATTAACAGTTAATTTGATAGAGAAAACCAATGGCTATTGCATTCAAAATTAAACACTGAATGCAATCATTATTTTTTTTTAATAATATTAATAATAATAAACAACACAATGTGTTTCAAATTGAATTGGATATCAAATAATATACGGTATTATAATAAATGTGTTGTGTATTCACAAAAAAAAACACTCACACTATGTATGGGGTATTGGAGTGTATTATATATATATATATATATATGATATATATTTATACACACTATATGTACGGTAAATGTATTTAGAAATTGTAGATTCAATGTGTATTTATAGCGAGAAAAAGCATTGCAATTGAAAAGTTCAATACAAATACATATACTAATGAATATATAAAATAAAGTACAGTAATTGCGATATCAATGTGTGTCTTGTTTTTCAAAACATTTTTATAATATTAATAGAAAAATTATATTATATTTATTAGTTATATATTATTATTATTATTAAAGCACACAATCATAGGATTTCTCTCTATCTCTCTGTCTCTGTATATCTCTCACTGCACACCACTGAATGTGTTAAGCAATTATTAATTAAATAATAACTTCAATCACTTTTTTTATAATAAAAAAAATAAAAAAAAAGCGATGATTATTACAAATACACACACAATATATTATATTATAAGTTATAGTTAAACATACAGTTATTTTATAACTATTTCATTTAATTTTGTTGTAGTGATACATACAGTACTGTAATAATTATATGCTGTGTTTGCTGTGTGTGTGTGTGAATCACTAGCTATAGAGTAATATATAGTATATATAATACTAATATAAATGTGGTGTTTGTTGTTGTGATGAGTTGTATAACTATAGGGAGAGAGAGATAGAGGGAGAGAGACAGAGACAGTCACTACAGTATAGAGAGAGAGAGAGAGAGAGAGACAGTAATAGTAATATATATGATATATAAAACGTTATACTGTAATACAGTGTGTGTTTGGTTGGGGCTTATTGTGAAAAAACATGGTTTAGTATTATACAGTCTATAATGCATTGACTATGCATTTCTCAATATATATATATATAGAGTATGTTTCGTGATATTCAATGCTGTTTTTAAATGACACACACATTGCCACTAAAATATTTTTATATATCAATTACGTTCAAATAAAAAGCACGTGTTTTGTGTGTGTGTGTGTGTGTGTGTGTGTGTGTATGTGTTGGCCTAATAATACTAATACTAAATTGTAATACACTTACCAGTTATGTGTGGTAATTGTGGACGTAATTTGTGGATTGAATTTGCTATATTACCATGTTAGGCTTTTTTTAAAAAACTACTGTAAATTTATATACACTGTATTATATCTATTAATAATTAACCATACTCAATTTTTGTTTAAATTATTTTTTTAAAACTTGTATTATTATAGTATACTTTAATTTATTAATATAATACTATACTATATATATATAGATAAATATTTCAAGCACTGTTAGAAATTATTTTTTTTATAATTATCAATTTATTTATTTTTTTTATAGTTATCAATAGTTAACTTGTTATGTAAACTTGATATTTTATTATCTACATATATATAATTTAAAAAAAAACTAATTTTAAACTAATACAATAATTATTTAGACTAATTATTATTATTTGTTTGATGTATTAAATTTAGCAAACAAAAATTTGATACAGTTATTTTTATCAATTATATCGATATAAAAAAAAACAAGCAATTAATTTGATTGGTATTGACCGTCAAATAATTATTTTATTTTATTTTTTTAAAAAAAAGGTAACCTTATATGTATTATCCGAAACAATCAACAATTATTGTATGATTGATAAGAACACATCAGTGAACCTTGTGAAACTCCGCGTCTTTTGATTGGTTGAAATCCCCGCTGTCATTGTGATCACGAATACGTATATATATATATATATATATATATATATATATATATAATGTTACCCTTGATATATTATATTTGTTAGAATAGATAGAACTATTTAACAAATAGCTTTTTTTCTAATTATCAAAAAGTATATATTTATTCACAATAAAATACTAATATTTTTTAATACTAAAATATCCATAATTTTATAATAAATGATACTGTAGTTACTAATACCATTTTATTTTAGCTAGCTAATTTATCAATTTCATACATATATATATATTATTTTCTATAATAATAATAATAAATTAACTTTAACAAACTGTTGTAATTTACATAAAAACAATTAATTATATAATTATTTAGTAATACAATGATCTACCTAGACAATGATTCGAATAATTTTTTTTATTTTGTAATTATAGCTATACAAGTACAGTATATATAATATAATTTTTTATATATATATATGTATTATATTAATTTAATACACTATTAGTTTACTAGTTATATATCATACTAAAATAATTTAATCAAATAATAAATTTAATATAAAAAATAATTTTTATTATCACCCCTAGTAGTTATTATGTTGGTTATAAATTTACTAAATTGTATTGAAATATTAACAATATAAAAATGTTGTTTATTCATTGTGTAATGCCAATTGTTTTAAATATATGATGATAAATGATCATGGAAAAATAATAATACCAATAAATAGTGTATGTGATAAATATATATATCAATCATACAATATATTTAAAGTGCAGATAAATTTCGTTTATTAGTAAAAATATTATTTTTAAAATTAAATTAACAAGTTAAACTAACATGTTTTTTAATAAAAAAATACATTTATACAGGTACATTTACATTGTAATATACGGTAGGTGTCACTAAGTTTTCAATAATTTAAAAACATTTTATTCTAAAACTTAAATATTCAATAAAAATATTAATTTATTGCCTCTAATTTAAAGTAAAGTAATACCATTTACATATTAGTAAAATAATATAATAGTAATATATATATATATATATATAAATAAATAATAACAAGAAATTTAATTAGCATTATTAATAATATTTAACAAGTTAAATTATAATATACTGTATATAAATAAATACTATGAATAACATATAGAATAATATAAATAAAATTAAATATATTCATAATTATAAAATTAATAATAATATAAGTTTATATATAAATAACACATATATACGCAAACATACAGTACAATTTACATAATTGTATATAATTTACAACTATATTATAGAAATCAATTAGTGAATGTCATTTAAATTAAAGTTTTGATAACTTATTATTTGGTTAACTAATAAATCGCTATTATTTTTATTATTATTATTAAAACTTTGTTCACAATTATTGAAAACTATCGGCAATTTTTCTTCGTGTGTTTTCCGATGTCTTTTCAATCCATACGAGTCTCTAAACTGTTTGCCACAGTTAGGTTCATAACAGATATGCCGTTTCTTTGCTGCCGTCCTATTGTTGTCCACACTTATTATTACCGGTTGGCCAGTCGTTTGCGATGTCGTCGGTCGATCGATTCTCTTCACAGATGATGGATAGGCTGTGTGTGTGTGTGTATGTAAACAGATATATCGACAGAAATAAAAACTGGTTACAACACAATACAATGGATCAATTGTGTCATACAAATTACCAATGTCTGGCTTGCAAGTGGCGCTCCGTTCGTGGCCAACATTGTTGGTGAGATGTCGGTTAATTTGTTTGAGATTTTTGGTCATATAGTTACAGGTGCGACAATGATATTTGTAATGGACTGCCGATAGATAAACACAACAACAACAACAACAACAAGATATCAGTTTTAAAATTCATTGGACAATCAATTGTTGTTTACCTATGGGTTTCAATGGATCAATTGGTTTCTTAGGTTTCAATTTGTCGATAATCTGTTTAGTAGTTAATCGACAACTTTGAAATTTAGGTCTATTTGTTGTGACAATCATTTGATTATCCAGTGGTGGCTGTTGTTGACCAACAATACTGACCACCAAATTATCGGTTATGTTGTTATTGTTGTTGTTGGTGGTAATGGTGTTACCAACAAATGTTTGTCGTCCTGTTTCCGATTGATTGTCACAACGACGACGACCACCGTTAGTATCGACGGCCAATACTACTACATCATCATCACTGCCGCCGTCAACGAACTCATATTCATTCTTCAGTTGAATCAATTTGTTGTCCAAATTGGTCAACAATTGTCTCATCTGTTGGTTTTGTCCGCATAGTTGACATTCATTGAAATATTTGATAAACTGATGTCTCTGTTCGCCCAAGACTTGGATGAATGAGTCGCTAAACTGTAGTTCCCGTTGCAGACGACTGATCTCCTGTTTCAGCTCTTTCATAATCATTACATTGTCATCATTCATGGATATGGGTTCGGCCATCGATGGTCACCAAAAGAGATTAAATTATCTGCAAAAAAAAGAGATATGAGTTTTTCAATCATTAAAAAATAAACTTTTTTTTGTGACACCAATAATGATATTAATAATAATAATAATAATAATAATAAAACAGTAATAATGTAAACAAATATTTTTTAAAACACTTGTAATGTTTGGCGCGATTTGTGATTTGATTTGATTTTTTTTTTTTGGTTAATGTATTTACCGTTAATTAATTAATGAATTTATTGTATATTAGAGAGATATATATGATATTTTTATTCAACCATTTTTTTGTCGATAAATACAGTTTTAATAAACAAAAATCGTATTATAATTTTTGTTTGTTTTTAGATGTGAGTAAATAAATATGAGTGGGTGTGTATGTGAGTGGCGCTCTGTGTGTGTATGTATGTATGTGTGGGTGAGTGAGTGAGTGAGTGAGTGAGTGAGTGAGTGAGTGAGTGAGTGAGTGAGTGAGTGAGTGAGTGAGTGAGTGAGTGAGTTAGTGATTAATAAGTGGGTAATTTAGGTAAACGATTGTGTAGGCGATAAAAATAATAATAATAGAGTATGAGTGGGTGAATTAATTTTTTTTAGACTACCCTATCTCATTTTTGTTGTTGTTATCACAATTTATTATCAAAAACTATATAAACTATCCATGGTTAATTATAGATATTTATTTTTGAAAAATAATATATAAGTTATCCTGGTCAATAGTAAAATTAGTTATTGGTTGAAAATCATCTATTAATGATTTATTGTAATATTTTGTAATATACTGTATATTACAATATACAGTAAATAATTATAATTAATTAATTTTATTATTAATATTAAAGAATAATTTTTTAAAAAATAATTAACTAATATATTTAAAAATTTATTAATTAGATTTTTTTTTTCCTTTAAACAAATATGTTTTATTTAAAAAAATTTTATTATGAACTAACTCTAAGGTATAAAAAAATAAAATTGTAAATAAAATATTATATTAAAATTAATTATTTTATAATATATTTATATTAAAATATAAAATGCCATTTATCTATCAATTCGGAAAAATCATACAATTTGTCGACAATTTTTTTATTCATTACTAAATTATTTTCATCACTAAACTGTGTCTTATAGTCGCCGACAACACCTTTGCGGACAAAATTAACTTCGGGTGCAATATTTACCGTACCGTTTGATTTGATGTCACGAAAAGCATCTTTAAAGCCGTCGACAATTTCTCCATCACTTTCCATATCATCGACCGATTGGTCGAAAAACTTTTTCATCTGTCCATTGGTCGAAGTCTTCATAAATTCAAAACTACTATATTTGATGACATTATCCAAGAAGTCTTTATCATCAGTAATCTGTTCCAACAGATCATTGCTAATAAATTTGGCAATTCTTCGGATCTGTTTCTCAATGTCTGTCTTTAGATCTTCGTAGTGAACAATCAGGACATTTGCAGTTCGGTGTCTCTGACGATACCAACCGATTAGATGATCAAAATAGTCGCCATAACCGGTCTTACCCGACATGAATGCAGTGAAAAACTGTTGAAAATTGTCGCATAAAAGTAATGGAAAATCTTTTTCGTGAAACCAAAAGGAAATCAAACAGTCTTTCGGATTTCTGATACAATATATGTATTTTGCCGGTGACTGGTCGTCAAACGGCGCCAATTGGACGGGCAAATGAGTCTTGAATGCCCGTACATGAGTGTCGGTGTCATCTTGTGTTGGCGCACACACCTCGAGGAATGGTATAGATTTGGAGAACAGCAGTGTTTTTGCCGGCGGTACACCTCTATTGAGCAATAGATGGACAATCTGTTGGGTCCAAGTTGTACCACATTTAGGATACGACACAATAAACAGATCGTTTTTTGTCGGCTTATACTTGTGTGCCATTAGTACCAGATTTTTCGGGAAACTATTTGGTACACACTTTTCATATTCACTATCGAAATCCATTATTACTATTATTATTATAATTATTATTTAGTATTAGAAATAATAAAATTATTTATTATTACTTTTATTAATTATTTTTTAAAAGAATTATTAATTCTATTAGTTATGAATGAAATGAATTATCAGTATTTTTTTGTGTGATTTTATAACTATTTTTTTTATAACTGATATTATTAAATACTATTAACTATTATTTTGTATAGATTATTACAACTACTGTAAATAATATATATTTTTTAATAGTCTTGTTGAAGGTCACTACAATTTAAATAAATAATAATAAGATAAAATAAAACGTCCTAGATACGATTCAGCTTTTAAAAAATAATTTTTTTTTATTACTGCAATGTTATGCAATAATAATATTATAATTATTATTTATAAAACTAATACTTTATGTTATAAACTTACTAACATATATCTGAATACAGTATTCACTATGTATTTAAATATATCCATAACTTAATTAGTAATTGTAAACTAATTGTAAACTTTAAATATGTTGTCAAAAAAATGCTAAATATTTAGTATTATACACAAAAAAAAGATTGTCATAACAATCATCAACTTGATATGTATAACATTTAACATCTAAATTAAGTACATAAAAAATAACATTAGTAGCAAACAAAAAATATAAAGTTTTGAAACAATTTTTGAAATTGATTGTTAAGCAAAAATTACTTGAAAGTGTCAATAATATTGACAGTAATGAACATATTATTAGCTTATTTTTACGGGACAACCATACGTGAAATGATATGTTGTAATATGTGGTACAGTAATAGACATCCGACCGATAATTGAGTTTTAAAACTATCTATTTATAACTTTTTATACTAAATATTAAATTGAATTTAGTATATCACCGAAATATATATATATATATTATTGTAAATTACATACTGTATATAACAAGTTTAAATTAATAGTATTAAAAGTATTGATTATCTAATAATAAAAATAATATTAATATTGTAAATAAATAATAATAGATAAAATCATAGTTTATAAGTTAATTAAAAATTAGGTTTTTCTAATGCCATATTAAAATAATGCGACTAATATACACATAAAAAACAATTTATAGCAAATAATTAGTAATAAAACTTATTTTTTGAGAAAAAAATGAATAATAAACAAAAAAAATGTTATAAAATATATTTGACAAGTAATTACACTATTCATTAAAAATCTTATGTGTTTTTAGTAAAACTACTTTCTCTCCCAATAAAACAAAAATTTAGATGAAAATCATATACAAAACTAATGGCTAAAAATAAGACACAAATTCTTGTGTGATATTTATAGACACATATACTGTACTTATGGTAAGCAAATGCGCAAATCATTAATGTTTAAATAGTCATGTATTTAAACAAACATATAATAATATAATACTTAAAATTATGTGATATATTAATTTAAACAATAATTATATAAATAATAAACTGATGTATAAATACAGTATATATTAAATGTCTTGATATTAGTATTAAAATAAACTTTTTATTTAAAAAAATAATTTTATAAATCAATAATAATAATAATAATAATAATGACGAGCAGTTCACCCACATCTTCGTCGTCGAAAGTCCTGAAGAGAAAGAAATCGTCGTTAAGTGAACTCAAGATTACAATACTTGGCGACAGAAATGTCGGCAAAAGTGGTAAGTGATTGATTGCAGACGTATTTATAATTAAAAATCGATGACTATTTACCGAAAGCTCATGTAGTTTATTGTATAATAAGTAATTATCCGTTATATATATATATGTGTGTATGTGTTTGAGTTGTTGGTCTTCTAGAGTTTGACAGTTGTTTATACAGTATTATCATTAATAATAATCTAAACAATCTATACATTTCCATAGCACTGGTAGTCCGTTATCTGACCCGACGCTATATTATGGAGTACGAGCACAACATAGACAACCGACACAAATATGAAATACTGATTGACGGCGAGCCCATCATATTCGACATATTAGACTCATCGTCGCCGTCCAGCCTATGCATCGACAACATTGACATATCATCGCAAACCTGTGACCTACTGGTGCTGATGTACTCCATAACCGATCGACAGAGTTTCATCTACGCCAAGGATCTACTCAAACATTTTGCACAACAAAAGAGTAAAATTTTTCATTATTATTATTAATAAGATGTTTCATTAATATATAATTAATGTTAACAACATTTACATCTACCGACTCTCTCTCTCTCTCTCTCTCACTCTTTGGCAAATAGGTAGTACCGGAACATCCATACCATTGATCGCAATTGTTGGCAATAAGAGTGATTTGGTTCACTTAAGGTAAAGGAAGTGATAATAAAAAGTTTACAAAAAAAATTTAAACCATACATAACATACACACTGTACACACAAACAGCACATTCATATCAATTACTGTCTAATATCTGTCTGTACTGTATATTAACAGACAGGTCAGCGTTGAAGAAGGAGAGATACTATGCACTGAATACAGTGAGCTAACGGCCCTCTATTACGGTGAAGTCAGTGTTGCCGACCAACTGGTCCACCAGTTATTCATCGATCTGTTCCGTTGGGTTAAGAAGAACAAAGTGGTACACAAATCGTTAACGCCTTCCCTTTTAGACAGAGTTGTTATTGGCATCAAAGGCTCAACCGGTAATGGATCGGCCATTGGATGATAGCATACAATACTGTATTATATATATATATATACTAAACTTAAACTTAAAGATACAGTAAATGATGTATTGTTATGTAAATGTTTTTATAAATATATATATATATATATATATCAATATATTATAGTGTTGTCATATTTGTTATTATCAAATGGTTAATATGACTGTGCTTTTTAAAAATCTAAGTTTTTTGTGGACAATATTTTGAAATATTTTGCAAATTATTGTTACGAAAAATATCTCAGATTTTTAGTAATCACAATCACATTAATATTTGACTACAAAAATATTTTTAAAGTACTATATATATGTTATATTATGTATTGAAATTTTATATAAAAAATGATATTCCTGTTAATTAATCAAAAATTTATTATTAGTAATAAAAAAAACAATTGTATAGAAATATAATTATGATTTACATTATTAAAATATATTTATTAAATATTGTATTTATTTTGTTGTTGTTGAAAATTTAAACCTATTTTGAAATAGTAAAATTTAAAAATTAAAAAAAATATAATTTATACAAATATAATGTAAAAATTATTTTTATTTTCTAAAATAATAAATAGGACATAAAATTAGTTTTTAGATCTTATCAAATTCAAAAAATAAACTATAAATAAGATAAATTTATAGTTGTAGTCTAATAATAATATATAGATTATAAAATAGCTATAAAAAATCAATGATAAGATCTAAAGTAATTGTTTTATCAAAATTTATAATTATAACGTTTTAAATTTTTTTAAACAAAAATTACTAACAAAAAAAACTTTAATTAAAGTCAATTTTTTTATTAAATGGTTTTATTATATACATAAGTTATTATTAATAAAATTAGTGTAATATAATTTATTTCATGAAAAATGCTTTTCCCATTAAAAAATTGTAATAATTTTTTACACTATATATACATATATATATATATCTATATACATAGAGTCAGGAAAGGTTTATTTTGTTTTATATATTATTTTATTTATTATAAAACGCAACAATTGATGAATTATTGCTTAAAATTTTGTATTATTTTATATGACAACACATAGAGTTTATATTATAATACTATAATAATAAGAAACTGATAACTTATATACTATGCATTAATATATTAATATATGTTGTGCAAGTATTAAAAAAGGCATATAATAAGTGATAACTAATAGTGTTAAATATAATAATAAATAATAATAACTAATAATTTAAATCGTGATAAATGAAAAATTATTAGTTTTTTCTATGAACTGTTTTGAGTGTATTTTATAAAAGTAAATCTCGACTGCAATTACATTGTAATTCGTGAATGTATTAGATTAGGAGCTGAGAGAAAAAAATACAAAAAATATTTGCCAATAAATATATAAATATGTGTATACATTATTAGTTATACATACTGTATATACAGGTATATTCATAGCTGATACTGTATATCTATGTATTGCCTGAATGTACATATAATATAATAATTTGTTTGCAGTCCTTGGCTATAGTTTTGTGTTAAATCACATAATAATAATCATAAAACTATTATAATATTTGACTATTACAATATATTAGTGTTGTTATTTTAGTATAGATAGTGAGAGAGAGAGAGARAGAGAGAGAGAGAGAGAGAGAGAGAGAGAGAGAGAGAGAGAGAGAGAGAAGCAATGCATAGATTGCGGCGTTAATTAAATAAAAGTCTATTATCAAGCCATTATCTACCTGTGCGTTCTCTGTATATATATATCTCCCTTACCTCCCGAAGCGCCCTCGAGTAAAATCGTGTCGTTTATAGTGACCAGTGTTCACACCATTGCATTGCATATTCAACAACAAAATCAAATATTATACTTTTAATATCCGCCGCCCTATGGTTTTTTGTAGTGTAACTTTTTATTTTAGATATTTTATTTTACTTAAATTTCCAATATAATCATATTATATATTGTATATATTATTATTATTATTAGATGTTCATAAACTTCAACATAACAGCTTTACAGGTATATATATAAACTGTATAGAAGATTATTATATTTTTATATATTAAAGTTGTATAAATTTATACATAAATATTAAAGATAATGATTCTGATATTCAATACTTTAATTTTATTTAATATAATGTTTTATAATATGATTAGATATCTTGAAAAGCCTGAGAGGTGTTTATAATGTAATCAACTATTCATTCATGATTTTCTAACTATTCATTATTTATATATCAACTCATTGACCCTCACCTCTCTAAATGCAAATCTTGAAGTGAAAATATTTTGTAAATAAAATAAAATAAAATTTAAAAAAAACAGATAACAGCTATACATCATTGTATCAGTCGATCGAAACACGATATTATAAATATAATAATAATAATAATATAAAAATTTCAAATTTGTTAAGTGTGTGTGAGCTATCATCTTAGCTCTCTCTCTCTCTCTCTCTCTCTCTCTCTCTCTCTCTCTCTCTCTCTCTCTCTCTCTCTCTCTCTCTCTCTCTCTATTTCATGATAAACACAATTGATGCAAATATAATATATGATTATATGTTTTATTCAATAGAGCCGCGCGCTATATAATAGCTATTAACACTATTAGATTAAACATGTATATGATATTAAAATTGATAGTTTGAGAAAAAAATAACTCAAATAAAATTGTATATCTAATAAATATCTCGTCTCTTCAAGAAATCACTCATTTTATCGACACATTTATTTGATTAGCAAAATATAATATTATATAAGACTATCATTTTTATGGCACCCGAGCCTAATTAGGATGCAATACCTATGGGTGGTGTGTATGTATATATGTCTGTGATGTTATATAATAATATGTATGATGTGTTCAGGATATGTATGTATTTGTGTGTGTGTGTGCTAAGGATATATATCCCTTAAAGGTCTACAAAAAATTATAATAATACACGTCTAAAATATGGTTAATTTTCAATGAGAGAAATATATTGAGTTCGTGTCGCACACACACATGAAAATAATAGTCGATCTCAACTGCAATTATCATTGACTTTTAGTCTCTAAAGCTTATGTAAGTCATATACTGTATATTGAATTACATAACAAATATATTTATAGTATATATAAAATTATATAATATTATATATATATAAATCTGGTGTTTTATTTGATAAATATAACAAATATACAGTAGTAGTAGTAGTATAGTGCAAATATACAGTCACACATATATGTGAATATAATAAAGTTAGATATAAGTAATGATATTTTTTAGATATAATCCACAGGAGGCTAATAACATACCTATTTATATGATATAACAAATGTATTTTGATTTTTTTTATTTCTCTACTGAAAGGAAACTGAGAGAGAGAGAGAGAGAGAGAGAGAGAGAGAGAGAGAGAGAGAGAGAGTGCTGTTGAACTTTTGTAGGCTAAGCTATATATATATATATATTCTGTATATTACTAACGACACCTATGCTTATCAACACCTATGGCTAAGACTGAGGACAGGGCACCAAAATGTAATATACAGGTATGATATAACATATCAGTATATATATATATATATGTGGCGACAATAATAACAACAACACTCTGGGAGAGTGAAGCGCACCCAATGCTTGAAATATAAATCATAACTTTTTTTGCCATATCTTAAGCTTATATATGATGTGTTGAAAGCCCAGGCGATAACAAGGCGTGCCATCCCCTCTCAAACACACAGGTCATCCCCTCACACCTAACACTTGCCTAAGAAGTCTTGTTAGGAGTCTATTTGATTATGAAGTGCGAGCGCACACAACACACACCACTTCTTTTGTCATTTTCATTTCATTTCAATTTTTTCTCTCTCTCTCTCTCTTTCAATACAATTGATGTTCACTTATTTAGGCAACACATCCATCCCTATAACATATATACAAGAGATGGTCAACTGTCGAGTGAGAGAGAGAGAGAGAGAGAGAGAGAGAGAGAGAAAGATTTCACAAAAAAATAATGCAAAGAAGTGTCGGTCCAGTCATTACACACTAACACATGATTAATGGTTTGCCTCTAACTATAAGCTCTCCAAATCAACACATCTATTGACATGTAATTCAATAATGAAATACTACAATATATATTGTATTATTATTATTATTATCGCATGTCTTATATATATTATATTATAACTGCTATACTGTACAGTAGTATATAAAATATAAGTTATATATATATATATATATATATAGTTTTATGAATAACAGGTATATATATATATATACAGTATATTCAACACAATATAATTAAATGAAGTGTAAAGGAAACGTCTCATAAACACAATCAACACTTAAAACATCCCATCGTCTTATGTATTATGCATTTGATTTTCATTGACACCGAAAAAACATATATACATTGAAAACATACTGTGTATTACAACCAACAAAAAAAACAATTTCTTAATGATAAAACATACGAGAAAATTATCATTAAATTGTGTTAATTTGTTAACTAAATAACTATTAATACAATGATTGCTATACACAAATACACTGATGATGATGACTAATAATGATTGATCTGTAAATGTTTTAGATAATTTTTATATATATAAATATTTTTATGTAATTTTATATAATATTGTATAAATTTTCACCAATATATACATTTGTTTTAATAATTTATAATTTTTAATATATTATTTTTTTGAAAAATATGCTACTGTTTCCAAAATAACAATAACAAAATAACAATAGTATATCAGTAGAAAATATCTCTAAAATGTCTACAAAAATAATATAAATTTGTTATTGAAAAAATTAATTTACTATTTTTTAAAAAAAATACAACCAGGAATCAAATAGAAATTGTTATTTATAAACAAAATTAATATAATTTAATTTTAAACAAAATTAATATAATTTAATTATAAACAAAATTAATATAAATTAATTATAAACAAAATTAATATAATTTAATTATAAACAAAATTAATATAATTTATTTTTGAACAAAATTACATATTTGATGATTAATAAATAATAT